GTGCCTTAAGAAATTCTCTACATTTAACTACAAACCACTCTAAAAAAAACCATTTTAGTATGGCCCAAAGCTATTTGCACACCCTTTACCCCACCCTCCCATGTTTTTTCGAATGTCGCTTCGTCAGGGATATTTCGAATGTCCCCATCCTCCATCGCTGACTGGTTACAGATTAGTAAGGATCTCTCGCTGCAAGCTGCTACAGTGGTTGAAACTGCTGTTATAAATTCTTTCGTTGAGATCTGGCGTGTCTGTAATGATTCCAAACATGGGAGGCACAAACCTACTATGGTGAGTTCTAAAAATCTAATTTTGCAGCAGGTTTTGATTTCTGAGAATAATAGCAGTAAGACCTCTTTCATAAATATGAAGAATTTTAATGTCATAAAGGCCTTTAATGTGGTTATTAAACCTCCTAAAGCCTCTTCCATTAAAGAAGTTCTTTGGTCCCCCTTCCTTTTGACTCGACCAAATGTACGTAATACAGATGGAGCATTCGATCACGATTCCTCGATTGCAAGTGGTGGTGGTATTTTCCGCAACCATCTTAATAATTTTATATTGGACTGTATAGAGAATCTCACGTGTACATCTCCCATTGATGCTGAATTTGGAGCTGCTATCAAAGTTATAGAAATCTCTATCAACAATGGTTGGAAGAAGCTATGGCTCGAGACCGACTGTCTTTTGGTGGCAAAAGCTTTCACCAACCATTCTTTGGTGTCATGGTTGTTCAGAAACTGTTGGATATCTTGCACCCACCCTAGTAAATTCTATAACTTAGTTATAATTCACATCTATAGAGAAGACAACACATGTGCCGAATTTTTGGCGGATATTGCGCTCAACACCAATATGATTTTTTTTTTTATTTCATTCCTTCAAGAATTCTGAATGATTTTGTAAAGAATAGCTTAGGATTGCCGTTCTTTAGATTCTCTTAATCTCGAAGCTAACTTGTTCTCCCTTTTGTACCTCATTTCTTTCTTTTAATATATTTACCTTTTTTATAAAATAAAAAAAAACTATAAGATAACAAACCCTTCAAACTGATTTATGCTCTTTGAGAACTCACTATTTTCACTTACTCAATATTGCAATATTGAACCATTCATTATGCTTGAATCTTAGCCCTATTTTTTTCTTGGCCTTGTAAACCTTAGTCCAACTTATCCAATAAACATTTTTTTGTCATCATCCCCCATAACAAGTCTATTTTCAGCTTGCTAATTTATTGAATTTGTTGTCTTTTATGCCTTATAGAATGAAAAATAGTGAATGGGCAAACTTTGTAGGATTGAAGTTAACAACACAACCCTTCCACCTTAGATAATTGCGTTCACTTCCACACATAAATTTTTCCTTGAGCTTGTACAAGATAAGATTCCATGTTCACTTTTCCCTTGGATTAACTCCCACCAAAATTCCAAGAAAAGGATATGGAATTTATCTTATACCAAAGAAAACTTGATGCAGCCTGCATAAAAGTTTTCTTCAATTTGAGACTTACTCTTATGAAAATTGACACATAATCTTGATACTAATTCGAATCCACGCATAGGATCCCTCTGATGCAAACATCTATGTGCTTGAAAGTCCAATGTTAGACTATCATTGTCTAATATTAACAAGCTTCTTGTGAAGACGCAAACTTCCATCCACATAAACCACCTTGATCCAAACCCCATTCTTCTCATGATGTAGCAAAGGTAACACCAACTCACACTATCATAGACTTCTCTGAAATCTACCTTTAACAACACACTTCTTCTTTCGCCTCTTTGCTAGGTCCATAATTTTATTGAGCACTAAAACCCCATCAAGTATTTGTCTATTTTGGACAAATGTAGATTGACAAGTGGATATCAACCTAGGCGCTACATTATTCAATCTAGCTTCCAACATCTTAGTGATAACTCTATAAAGACTGTCAATTAAATGTATGGGTTGAAACTCACCTCTCTCCTCATGGTTGTCTATTTTTGGGATCAATGCGAGAAAACTTGTAGTGATAACCTTAGGTGGTTTGACATTAACATAAAATTGATTTGCAAATAAGACTATGTCTTCTTTTAAAATGTCCCAACATTTCTTATAAAACCTCATATTGAAGTTGTCCAACCCTCGACTTTTTTCACCATCACTTAGCTAGACTTCCTCCTTAATCTCCTCAAATTAAAGCAAAATGACTCTTCAAGCAATGTACAATCATACTCACTAAGTTGTTTGAATGCCACACCATCCAAGTGTGGTCTATTTGGAGATGGTTCTTGGAATCCCTTAAAAGTGTTTCTTAATTTTCCCTTTGATTTCTTATACTTGTTCAATGCTACCTTTCTCCATATTTAAAACCACTATGCCATTTCTTCTAAATATCCCTTGAAAGTTTTTTCTTAATTTCCCTTTCAATTTCTTATACTTGTTCAATCCTACCTTTCTCTATGTTTAAAACCCCTATACAATTTCTTCTAAATCTCCTCATCATGATCGAGTAAAGATTTCTTCTAATAATCTTTTCACATTAAAACTCATATTTGATATTTTTTTATAAACAAAATTTGTATTAATGAGAAGGAGTATTAGGAATACTCAACCCTTACAAGAAACAAGAAATGCATTATATGCAATCCCAAAACTAGATCGAAAATTCAATCGGATTTGCAAGACAAAACAATGGATTGTTGCACCAATCGGCCCAACAACAATTAACCGAAACTTTACTTCTAGCTAAAAACCAATCCCAAGACAACACTTTGGCCTTGCTCACTAGATCTTCAACCCGAAAAGAAACCCCCTTAAAAACCATTTCATTCCTGCTAACCCAAATCAACCAACAAACCGCCAACCAAACGAGAAGTCTAATATTTTTTGTTCTCCCTACCTTTTATAGAAGACAAGAATCAACTAAAGTTTGTATTTGCAACATCCAACTGATTTTGACATGAAATATCCAACAATAAAATTATTTTTTCCCATACTAGTAACACCTTCATACTTCGACAAATAGATGAGCAGTGGATTCAACTTCATCCAAACATAATGGACATACCATACTATGATTTCCGGAGATGAATCCTCTTCTAGCCAAATCCACTCTAGCTGGTAATCGATTCAATAGCAACCACCAGCCAAAAATTAGAATTTTGCTCGGTGCATTTGTGATCCAAATCCTGTTCAACATCTAAATTATGATATTTAACCTGCACTCCATTATCTATGATAACAACAATAATCTGATAGAAACTTTGAACGGAAAATCCCAAATTGTTCCTCCACGAAACAAAATCGTCTTCAATCTTCGGCTTCAACTATATTTTCTGCAGCACAGACAGTCGAGCCTCTAGTTCAGATTTTTCTTCCACCTGTAATAGCAAGTTGTCAGCAATTTATACCAACCATAGTGAATCATCTTTGTTGAACGACTGCCTAATTGCATCAATAGTTTTCATCTTAATATCCTTGTATCTTGTTGATAACAATTTATACCAAATAGATTTTGGTTCGACAAGAATGTGTCGCTTCTATTTGCATAAGAGTGAGAGATTGAATTTTTTTGCAATGTTTGATGCCTAACCTACCTTTTGACTTTAGTCTACATACCGGTAACCAGCTAATCCAAGTCATTTTCTTCTTCTCTGAACTTCCACCCTATAGGGAATTTTGCTGAATACGAATTATTTCTTGTATCACACTTTTAGGTGCCATGTAAAACGATAAAGTGTAGATTGGAATTGAATTAAGCACTGAATTTATAAGCGTCACACGTCCTCCTGAAGAGAGATATTTGTCCTTCCACTTAGAAATCAGTCTCCGAGGTTTTTCCAACAGCGGTTGCCAAGTGTTTATCCTCCTCGGATTAGCTCCTATGGATATACCCAAAAACATAAACGGAATACTACTTATTGCACGTGCTAAGAATGTTGAAGCTGCCTCTACAAAACCTTGTTTGAGATTCATATCAATCACCTTGGTTTTGTTGAAATTTAGATACAACCCCGACGCCAATTCGAATCTTCTCAATACTGCTTTTATAGTCCACAAATTATACCACGAACCTTCCCTCACAATGATGGTGTCATCCACGAATTGTAGTAAGTTGAAGCTTACCTCATTTGAGAAATTGAAAGGCTAAAAACTATCTTGAACTATGGCATTCAACATTAAACCATAAAGACCTTCAGCTGCTAACAAAAACAAGAACAGAGACAAATGATCGCCTTGTTGCAAATCCTATCCGCCTTGAAATCTTTAGTTGGGCTACCATTGACCAGAATCGACATTGAACCTAAAAATACACATGCTTTCATCCACTTCATCTACCTACATCCAAATCCTATTCTTCTTATTTCATCTCTCAAATACTCCCATGTTACGCAATCATATGTCCTTTCAAATTCGACTTTAAAGATTAGACACTCCTTCTTCTTCCTTTTTGCAAAATCAACCACCTCATTAATCACAAAAATCCTGTCGAGCATTTATTTACCCTAAATGAATGCAGATTGAAACATGAAAATCAACTTGCTCATCATCTTCTTTATTCTATCAGCTAGCATCTTTGCCAAAACACAATATACACAACCTATAAAACATATAGGGCGATAGGCCTTTAAACCTTGTGGATTACTCGTTTTGATATCAAATATCATTTTCAATTTATTCAAAGATTCAAAGAATTCAAATTCAATCATAAATATATAAAAATAAATAAATATAAAAAAAAATTAATGATGCCGTTTATCCGATCCATGCCAACTATACTCCAAGTACATTTCACATAAGTTTAATAAAACTCGTTTAAATTTCAGTCTATTAAAAAACGTGTATTATGAGTAGTTAAAAAGTTATATTTTATTTTCTAAAACAAAAAACAATATAAAAATTCAAGAGACGGCTGAATATACTAGTATAAATGAACATGGGCTAAAAGCACAATCATTCACTCTTTCCTCTTCACACTTGTGCTATCATTGGCCATTGTTAATTAGCTAGCTATAGCCATGGCAGCAACTTGTGATAAGGGATTTGCAGATAGTTATATGATTCTAAATCCAGAAGATGCTCATTTCTTTGATATTATTCATGTTTTATTTTCTCGTAACATAGGGCATAGAAAATTTGTGGACAGTAATGCTGAGGGAGATGTAGAGGGAAGTTTCAGAGGTAGATGGCTTATATTTATCTCTATTATTCTACAGAAGTTCTTGCTCTATATTGCTAGGCCACTTGCTAAGTTGGGATCTTGTGTTGAGATGTTGGTTAATCTCATTGCTCTTAATGGAGGCATCATCATGATCATAATTAACTTTCTCTCTGGTGAGTTTTTCTTAGATTTGTTGTTAATTTAATTAATTATGTTAACTGATTAGGCTGTATTGAAAAAGTTTCCCTTACTTTTTTATTGGTTTATATTGGTTTTTGATAAGTTTTATTTTCTTGTCTTCTTTTGATCATTGTTAGTTATAATGGGTTGAAATACTTTTAATATAATATATTATCTTCACTAGTTTCGTAGATGTACCAACATGTTCTTTTAACATTATCTACCACTTTTTTAAAGTTTGGAATCTTTCCATTGATAAAAATTATTGTTCCTTTTTAACCAAATGCTCCAAGAGGTAATTCAAAAATTCTTATTTCTAATTTCATAATTATAAACAAAAACAGGTCATTTGGAAATCCCAGATCCTAAATCACACAGATACTTGTCTTGCATTGGAAATTTAGATACAAGAGTCAAATGTGATATTCTCAAACGTGAAGATAGCAAATATTATGTTTCTCTAGCTATGATGGCTTCAAAAGCATGCTATGAGAATGAAGCTTACCTTAAATCAACAATCGCACATGAATGGAAGGTGCAAAAATTGTTAACTTAGTTATTTTTGTTGAGTTTTCTTTTGATTCTTGTTATCTTCTCGATTAATTTAATCCCTGATTTTTTTTCCTTTTACAGATGGAATTTGTGGGATTTTTCGACTGCTGGAATGGTAAGAACAAAAAAAAACAACTATATTTATATTTTGATCTTGAATATAAAAAGAAAAATAATAATTTAATAGTTTATAAGAACTAAAAGTTATTCAAGTAATTATTAAAAAAAATTAACTTCACCTCATTAATGATATAATATTTTTTGACTAAGCTAATGATATAATTATTAAATACTATCTTTTAGTTAACATAATTCTTTTCAATAAATTTTATTATATTTAACAATTAATTATACATAACATTAAAACCCATTTGTTACAAAATATAGTTATTATTTTGATATTCAATAATTTAAAGATAAATTTTTAAATATTTTAAATAAAAAAAAGCAGAAGTTATTTTGAATTTATTGAGATAAAAATTATTTTAAAAAATCAGTTATCAAAACTGACTTTTTTTTAGATAGGCTATTATAAAAATAAATTTTTATTTAATTAATTTAGACTATTTTTTTCAAAAGGATAAAAACTTCTATAAAAAAAATCTACATTTTTTTAATACTAAACATGTCTTAATCATTTTTGTTTATATTCTAAATTAAAGAATGTATATTTTTATTCATAATTGCAAATCTATCACTTCCATTAAAGAATAGTTAAATGCATAGTTGATTAGTTTTTTTTAATTTAATTGATTAATATCTTGACATGCACATGGCAGAATATCAAGGAAGAGCCACAACTCAAATCTTAATATTGTTGGACAAATCTAAGGACCGTGACACATATGTAGTAGCTTTTCGAGGAACAGAACCTTTTGATGCAGATGCATGGTGCACAGATCTTGACATATCTTGGTATGGAATCCCTGGTGTTGGAAGAGTGCATGGTGGATTCATGAAAGCTTTAGGGTTACAAAAGAATTTAGGTTGGCCTAATGAGATTGAAAGAGATGAAAAACTTGCTCCACTAGCTTATTATGTTGTTAGAGACATACTAAGGAAATGTTTGAGTGAAAACCCTAATGCGAAGTTTATAGTTACGGGTCATAGTTTGGGTGGAGCATTGGCAATACTATTTCCAACAATCATGTTCTTGCATGATGAGAAGTTGTTGATTGAGAGGTTGGAAGGGATTTACACATTTGGACAACCAAGAGTTGGAGATGAAAGATATGCAGAATATATGAAAGAGAAAATGAAGGAAAATCATGTGAGGTATTGTAGGTTTGTTTATTGCAATGATATTGTTCCAAGGTTGCCATATGATGATAAGGATATGTTGTTCAAGCACTTTGGGATCTGTCTTTTCTTTAACAGGCGTTATGAACTCAAGGTAAATTTGTTGTATTCATTATGCATTAATAAGTTATTGATATTTATAAATGAATAATTTTTTAATTATATTTATTTAACTATTTAATTTTAATGTAGATTCTTGAAGAAGAACCAAACAAGAACTATTTCTCACCTTGGTGTGTGATACCTATGGTATTCAATGCCATATTAGAACTTATAAGGAGCTTTACCATTGCTTATAAGAATGGACCTCATTATAGAGAAGGATGGTTTCTTTTCTTTTTTAGGATGGTTGGTTTACTCATTCCTGGATTGCCTGCTCATGGTCCTCAAGATTACATCAACTCCACTCTTCTTGGATCAATTGAAAGGCATTTTAAAGAAGAGTGATGTATAAATATGTATTAATAATTAATAAGCTTGGGCATATTGATTTGGTGTATCAATTTGAATCAATGATTCCTATGCTAATTGTTTAATTTAAAACTATGTAAGCACCAAAAATACTAGAGTGTGGGTATGTTCTCTTTTTAAGGAGTCATTGAATAAACATTTATTTTAACTATAGTTGCATCTTCTAGTGCTTGTATTATGTTGATGGAGCTTTAGTTGTTACAAGGGGAGCCTTGGCCTCCATCAACATTATAAGAAAATGGTATATTGTGTTACTGTGCTTGTAGATAATCAAATAGTTCAATCTATTTTCTTTCTTAAATAGGTGTTAAGATGTTATTATTTATTTCGTTATGGAACATAATATCGGGAGGTTTGTGAAGTCCATCGTAAAAGGTATCTGACACGGTAATGGAGTTTTTTGATGGGCGATGGAGGTGTACTTATAAAGTTAGCACTCCAACTTCGTTTTTTACAATAAAAACTTTTAATTTTGAAAACGTGTATATTAGCATAGATAAACAAATGGAGGAATAGTAGCAGAATAATGAAAAGAAGTGAGAAGTACAACGAAAAGAAAATAAACAACTAAAATTAAAAGAGATAAGGGATTTAAGATTACACTAGAGATTTATCTTAGTTTGATCTAAACCACATGACCTATTTCAGTCCCTCAAATAGTTTTTTTTTTTTGGAATTACCACTGAAACAAACTTCAAGTTTTACATGCACGATTAACCCAAACAATCTTCAACATCAACTTGAGGTTTTACTTAGAATCAACCCTCAAACCTTCCAACAATAAACAAAATGTTTACATATGTTATCTCAAGAACCTTCTCTCAGGCTTTTTTTCCAAGTTTAGCTTGCAACCTTATAAAGATATTACACAAGAGAATCACACTCTTAAATAAAATAAAATTCAACATAACACGAATACAACACAACTCTCAGAAAGAATTTTTCACTCTCATGACACTAAAGTAAATCTAGTGGAAAAAAATTATACAAGAAAAGAGAATAATAGATGGTTTCATTCAGAAAAATAGTGTGAAATGAAATGAGGAGAAGTCTCCTTTATATAAAAAAAAATATGGCTAAAATGAAAATAATTCACATGCCTCTTTAGTTAATTAATCGATTAAACCTACGTGATAATCGATTAACCAACTCAAATATGGAAAGTTTGAGTTTTGACATCACCTAATTGATTAAAAACTCATTTAATTGATTAAAAGGCGATACAATTAAGTTTAATTGATTAGAGGAATTCCTTAATCGATTAAACACTGCAAAATACCTTCATAATTGATTAATCAAGCTACTAATGAATTAAGTGTGCATTTGTTTGGAAATTTTTATAGGTATTTTATCAAAAGAGAATAGATGTTTTGAAAAAGCATTAAGTGTGTGCATTGCTTTAGTCCCTCGAGACTTACTCTGACACCTTTTACAATTTAGCTGATCAAACTAGAGAGTTAAGCGCAAAACCAAATGAGCTTTCACATTTTTTCTCTTTCACAAATTCAAGTCTTCAAGTTCCTTAAATTGATTTGTCATTGTATAGCACTTTAATTGAAACTTGAACACATCTTAATATTGAAATATCTTCTTATCGATTATATGCCATCATCAGAACCTAGTGGAAGTTGCAGTCAACTTCCCCTTGTACAATTGTCACTAAGAACTTCACCAAACGTCGTTTGACTTAAGGTGTTGCCATCGTTAAAATAGTCTGACAATTATCATCATTGAAATTTCTTGACAGTTTGTCTTCATCAAAACCAACATATTGTTATACCTACACAACATATATATCCACATTTTTTCTTTTTTAAATAATGACAACGCATCTCTCAGAAAGCTGGTAAAATAGAATACGATAGATAAAAAAATTGGAGTGTTAACTCCCCTTCACATATATTGAAAGTATACTCTGCTCTCCATGAGAGTATACTTCTCTCCTTTGAAATTATCAAAAATGCAAGAAAATATAAATAGCATAAGCACACATATCACATATGTCATTTTAAGAAAGGGAAAAACAAAAAAGAGAAGAAACCCTTAGTAAATTAATTCATGCATGATTGATATAAATTCCTAAATCAGTTCTTATGAAAAATAAATTTTCTTTAGGAAGAGTGTTGATTAGATTAAGACATGAATTAACCATCATACAAACTTTTGTAATTAACCATCATACAAACTTTTGTAATACACATGATTTACAATGGCATTTTCTTTTAGTTAATAATGCTAGTTTAAACCATCGTATGTTGCATCATTTCTAAAAGAAAAAACTTTCACATTTTTTTACAAAAATAATAATAAATAAATAAATAAGTTGATGCAAAATCAATAGCCTAACATGTATCATATTTCTAAAATCATTACTCCTTAGAGAAATTCTACTCTTGTGAGATCCATTTACATCATCTAGTTTGATATACATTTTATAAACTACATTTCAAGCCTCCTAGAAGAAAGCAACAAGGAATATAGATATATAATTTCATACTTGATATAAACATTGTCTCATTATAAATTTCATATTTAAATCTCTTAAAGAATAAATAATGACAAGAGAGTTTTCACCTAACTACACATTTGAATTATAATCTCTACCCGTCAACCCCATCTTAACATGTAATCTAAATTCAATTCACAGATCAACATGTTTAACAAACAATCATTTAAAAACTATTATGAAATCATACTTTTAATATCCAAAAACTTTAAAGAACTTGGAAGTAATATTTCTGTAATTGGAATAACTGCAAAATTATAAATAAGTCACCTCATACAAGTAAAATTATCCAACCCTTGGAATCTGAAGCAACCCAGAATGAGAATTCAATGATACACATGTATTTCAAGGACCTCCACCATTATAGTTGGAGAAAAACGAATGACAAATTTTTAATGGATGTTTCCTTTTCAACTAATTCCAATGAAAGAATTAAATATCAATTTAGACTCAACCCAAAACACAATAACATTTCACCTAAGCAAAACTAGGACATCTCAAATCAAGAGAAAACAAAAAAAAAAACATGCACCCACTTGGAGGTAAAATAGTAATAAGATGTAAAAAATATTCAAATAAACTATCTTACAAAAAGAGACAAGAAAAAAAAAAATCCTATGGTACCTGCATAATTAGTTATTTTCTATCTTAATTTGTCTTTTCTTCATAATATCCTAAATTGGGCGTGATGAGTTATGGTCAAACTAGATAGATAAAAAACTTAAATGACCAACCTATTACAATTAAATAACTTAAATGACTCTTTGTATAGTTTTGCCTATTTATTTTCAAAACTTGTTTTCAATATGTATTCATTTCATGCTAACTCTATTATTTTCTTCTTCAAAGGCTTTCACATGATTCTTATACATTAAAATATTTCTTTCTACCACGTCATTTTCTTTACTGAGTTTGGCACTTAAATCTTACATTTATTTATACGAAAGAGTGGTTGCCTCTTTTTCTTCGTGGTATGACATGGGACATATGTAAACTTCTTTCTTTTTTTCAGATTCATTTGAGGAGTCCATGTCGTTTACTTCTTGTTCATTATAAGCTTTCTCTGAATTATTTTGTAGTCTTTTGTATCTTTTAGATTTTTCTTGTATTTTGCGGACATTTTGGCTTATGTAACCTTTATTATGCACTGGAAGCAAGTTCATTTGAAGGTTGGTCTTTCTTTACTCTGCTTTTGAAATTTAGATGTATGTTTTCCGTGCCTTAAGAATTCCTTGAGTTATCAAAACATGAGATCCATGTCTTTATCACTTTCACTTTGGAAGTCTTCATCTTATGACTCCATGTGTTTGAAATTTGTAACTTTTAAAGCAAGGTTTTTCTTACTTTTGTCTCATTTTCCCTTCTTAGTTAGCCTTTTTAGTTCTATTTCATGTTCCTGCAACTTTCCAAACAATGTAGTCAAATTCATAAAAGATAAGTATTTAGATTGATAGATCGCATTGACTTTTAGTTGTCAACTATGGTTTAAGCATCTGAGAACTTTTATAACCAGATCCTAATTTAAAAAAAAACTTACCTAGAGTTCTCATATGATTCACACAATATGAATAAAACATTTTTCTATATCCTGAATGTTTTCTTTAGGTTTCATTCTAAAAAGTTTGTACTCGTGGGTCAATGTGTTCATTGTAGCTTTTTTTTACCTTGGTTGTACCATCACGGGTAAGTTAAAGGATGTCACACAGTTCTTTGTCAGTATCACAATGAAAATTACACAAAAACTCATCAATGCCTAAGACAATTGCGATGATAAATTTGGCATTCAATTCCACTGCATTTTTCCTTATCCTCTTTGGTCCAAATTTCTTAACTTGATATTATCATTTTGTCTTTCCATAACACATGCCCTTCTCCATTGGTGAGCGTTTGGAAGCATTCGAAAACATCTGGATGGTGTTGGACGTGTTTGGGTAGACCTTTGTTCCTTTTTTAGCTTTCCTTCCTATATGCATTTGATTCCTTCACAAAAATCAAAACTTTCTCAAAATATCAAATTACTTTGAGAATATATTTAATCATTAGAAACATCATAGAAGTGATAAAAATTTCAAAATAAACTAAATTTAATATTCAAAACACTAAACGGTTATCAACCTTTATAAAAATAAGAGGGTAAAACATAGTAAAATGGTGAATAATCAGTGCCGGAGGAGGTTGGCATTTCATGTCAAAACATTTAATAATTGTAAACTTGTAAATTAAAAAGTACATATGCCCCTTGAAATAAGTATATACCATATAAACTAACTATTTAACATGAAAAATATCTCTATGAAAGTAAATTTTATCATTTCCAAACCCGATACCATTTCTTGTGTGGTAGGCTTTCCAAGGAATTATTATGATGAGAGTCATGATAATATTTTGAATTTAAGAGCTCTGACTTCTATCAGCAAGTTTGAGTAAACTTTCGTAACTAGTTCTATCAATGTTCAATCCAAACAATTGC